AAGGAGAAAGGACGAGAGAGAGAAAGAGAGAGAGAGCAGAGAGAAGAGAGGAGAGAGGGAAGGGAAGAGCAGAGAGAGAGAGAGAGAGAGGAGAGAGAGGACAGAACGCGAGAGGAAGCGAGGAGAGAGAGCCAGAGGCGTCGAGAGCGAGACCCGGGACCAGCCGAACGCGACGCACGAGAGAACGCAGACGCAGATTCACAGCAAGCTAACGATCGCGCGCTCCAGACGGATGCGCACACTGCCGCATAGGCTGTGATCATGTCTGACTTGACCCGTAGCGCTTAACGAACCCCTCGACCGAACGAGCCAAAGCGCCTGAAAACCCTCCGCCCCTTCAGTCACCGCCGCGCGCCGACGCTCTCCTTTCCTCTACGATCCCTGACCATCCTCCCCGTCCGCGCGGGAAGGCGCCCCGCAGCCCAGCCCCCCAACAGCCGGCTCCCCACAGCACCAGGACCACACTCCTCCCTTACGAAAAACAAACGGTTCATATCGATACTCCTATGGGCATGTCGACCTCTGGATCACGTAGCGCAATACCACTCACTGAAGGAATCGATTCGTGCAAGTCGATATATCGAATATTCACTCCACGAGCTTGGGTTGGTCTGCCGTCTTTGCGCGGCGCCAGTTTCAAAATTGGGAAGGCAATGACTTGAGGCATGTAGTTTTAGAGAGGGGGGCGTGACTTAAGCAGCCGGAGGGCTCCCAAGTCTGGAATAAGTCTATCGTCGATTGATATCCACATGGTCATCAACTACACATGAGACAGGGAGACCCTACTTCACACGCCGCCACAGTTCCCTATAACAACATTGCGACTCTCATCCCTGACTCCTACGCGCAGTTTAGACAAGTAGTTGTCAGCGGTTCTTAGCGCAGCGTCGGGTTAGGGTGGCGAGTTTAAGGGTCACAGGGAGCGTCCGCGCCTGATCATCTGCATGGTCGATATCCACTCACACCAAAGGATAACAGCGCGCGACCCCCTCCCCCTACTCTCTCTCACACACACATTAACACGCACACACGCACGCGCACGCACGGCACACGAGCACACACATGCACACGCACGCACGCGACGCCACGCACCGCGACGCACGCACGCACGCACGCAACGCCACACCACGCACACACACACACACACACACACACACACACAACATGCACACACAGCGTCACACTGAATTTGCCATGACCTAAACCGCAGGTGAGAGGCATTGGGACGCTGGGTTAACGTGTTGTGTGCGTGTCGTGTTGTGTGGTGGTGTGTGTTGTGGTTGTGTGTGTTGTGTGTGTGTGTAGTTGTGTGTTGTCTGTGTGGTGCGTAACGTGATGCGATGCGTAATGCGCGTGCGTGCGCGTGCGTGTGTAAACAGACGAACTGCAGACTATCAGACCAGAAGACTCGATACAAGAACTTGCGTCTGTATTTCTGAATTCTGCGTGCTAGAGTTCACATGCAGCCACACACGATGCAGGCCGAAATTCGTTATCCGCAAAGATATACTACAGAAATTGCAACCAGCCAACCAGAATGTTAGACTCCCGACGTTCTCGGGCATCAAATTAGATCTATTGGAAGCAAACTGGTCTTACTGTGTCCAAAAAAAAAACAAAAAAAAAAAAAAAAAAAAAAAAAAAAAAAAAAAAAGAATTCTAAACCTCGTTGTGGCCCTGGCAGTGGGGACGCGTTGCTGTTACTGGGTTTCTAACATTGCTGTTACTCAGAGGGGTCCGGCGCGCGCCAAACCATCGGATAATGTAGGTGGTTGTGCTGCCTTTACATATAATGATCACATTACAATAGCTCCCAAACACAACCATCCATGGTCACCGCTGTAGTTACATAGTAGGTTTAATGTCTAGCTCCCAAACACAATCCACCATCCATGGTCACCGCTGCAGTTACATAGTAGGTTTAATGTCCACTCAATCACAATCAACCATCCATGGTCACCACTGTAGTTACATTGTAGGTTTAATGTCCAGCTCCCAAACACAATCAACCATCCATGGTCATCATTCCTACCAACCTCACTGGTCAAGCTACTAGCTTGGTTTCCTACCAGCTTCACTGATCAAGCTACAAGCTTAGTTATCTACCAACCTCACTGGTCAAGCTACTAGCTTGGTTTCCTACCAGCTTCACTGATCAAGCTACAAGCTTAGTTATCTACCAACCTCACTGGTCAAGCTACTAGCTTGGTTTCC